GGCAACAGTGACAGTGGTTTCCTTTGAAGCAAGGACCTGGGTAGTTGGGAGACCAAGGAGGGAAAAAGGCTTGCTTTTCACACTCTACCCCTTTAACGTTGTACTACATATACATGCTTTACCTACCCTGCTCCCCTCCCCAAGTAAAATATTTTTTAAGCCCCAAAGGTAACATTAATTTGACAGATGGAGGACTGCAGCTCTTAGGATAGGGAAGAACATACTTTTTTTTATTGTAAACCTTACTGTACAATTTTATTTTTGTCACATGCATATTTGTTTACAAATTTTTTAATATATGTTTACTTAAAAAAAATAAAAAAACTGATTAAAAAGAGACAATTTTAAAGCCTCCCAAGGAAATGTTTGCTATCTTCATTGGCTGGTGATTACATGAGCGTAATCAAAACTTACCAAACTGACACTTAAAATGGGGGCATTTTATTGTATGTAAATTATACTTTAATACAGGTGATTTCTTAAAAATCTCCCAAGGTGATTCCAAAGTGCAGTTAAGTTTGGGAACCACCGTTATAAAGCACCCAGGACCTAGTCATAAGCTTTATTCTAGCCCCCAAGAATTAGTTCTTAGGGCACTACCAAAAACAAACAAAAAACTCTTCCAAATTAAATGAAAGATGTGTGATTACTGTTGTTGTTAGGTGCCGTAGAGTTGGTTCCAACTCACAGCGACCCTATAGGACAGAGTAGAACTGCCCCACAGGGTTTCCAAGAAGTGGCTGGTGGATTTGAACTGCTGACCTTTTGGTTAGCAGCCAAGCTCTTAAGCCACTATGCCACCAGGGCTCTGCGATTATTAGGTACTATAAACTGTAACCTGAATGGTACAAACTGAAGGCTACATGTCTGGCACTGGGGCTAAGGACTTCACTCTGAGTGAACTCTCATAGCACTCTGTTACCATCCCCCTTCTACAGAAGGGGAAACTGAGTTACAAAGGGGTCACATTACTGACCAGGGTCACAAGCCATGAAGTGTCAGAGCTAGTACTTAAGTATCCATCAGCCTCTCTCCAGAGCCCACGCTCTTACTAGATGCTGTACTGCCTTCCTTTTCTGAACTTTGGACCTTAGGACCTTCAAAAGACAAACAGATTCTCAACTAAAAAAAAAAACAAAAAACAAAAAACAAAAAGCAGAGCTCCCTGTTGAGTAACTGTAAAAGTTAGAGATTTCAGCCAGGAAAGAACTTCTCCACTAAACCTATGAACACAGTATTTCCAACAAAGCTGCCAAATCCTGTAATAAAATTTATCTCCTGACAAAAGAAACTATATAATAACCATGTGTTACAATATTAAATATCCATTTTAACTTAAATTTACTTCCTTAGGCTGTCAAAGCCTAAACTGCAAACAAGAGGGTTTGGTAAAGCGTATCCCCGAAAAGGGGCAGAGCATTTGCTCTATGGGTCCACAAAAGAGGCAACAGAGAACCACAACTCACTGGCACCATACAGACTTGTACACAAACAACTGCCAGGAGAATACAATAAAAATAACAATGTACACACAGTGCAAGCGGAACTTTCAACCATATACTTAAAGTCAAAACATAAAAAAAAAGTTCTTTTATATATTGGAATTGGATTCCTGTGTTTTTGAGCAGCCAGGAGCTTTAGAAATTAACGTCTACATTCTTTTGTTCTTCTCTCTTGCAAAAAACACACCAGTTTTTGTGTGGGGACAGCTTTTAGGGGCACACTATTAAATTGACGAATTGGCTCAGAACATTTTCCTTCAAGTTTAGGAAACTATGGTCAGGATGCAGGGTTAGTAACGTTGGAAAGCTTAATTAATGAAAAATATAATTTCTAAAGAATAACTAGCCTGAAGAGATAAATGAAGTATGCACAGCTGGTACATGATGGAAATAAATGTTTCTGACTTCATGAATAAAGACTCTTCAGCCACAGTCCTGCCACACATACGCACAGCAGGGCTGCCATGGATGACAAGTTGTTCAAGAACCTTTTTGTTATAAAAGGTGGTGGTAGCAGATAACAGTGGGGAAAAAATATCCACCCCAGTACATCTGCCTTTCACATCCACTTATTGCAGACTCCCATCTCTGCTATTTACTGGCATACTAACCTCCTACAAACAGAAAAAAGACAAGAACATGAAAACAAACATCGTTGTTCTCCTGTTTAGTCAGGCAGCAGTAAAGAAATTTATACTAACTTTAAGCTTGCTACCAATGAAATCCTTGTCACTCTTAAGGCAAGCAGCCATTATATAAATACAATGCACTGATATCTTAAAGGAAAAATATCCTTGAAAAATTTCTCCTGTATCAAGAGTCAGAACATGTGCTTCTACCAAGAGAGAAAACGAATGTACACTGAACACTTTATACATTATTTCACCTAAAACTGCTATGCAATGGGTGTTATCTCCATTTTATAGATGTAGGTCCTGAGGTTCAGAGAAATAAAATAACCTGCTTAACATGATCCCATTTTTATGGCAAAACTGCCTTTGTAGTTATACAGCCATCAGCATTTCTGGTAATCAGGCTTAAGCAAACCTACAGAGCAAAAACGTAACCTAACTTTTTAAAAAATCAATAATGTAGAAATAATTGAGGAAACAGCTTTGTAACACAGTCTGCCCTCTTATACGCGAGGCCATCGATCAAACACCCAATGCATATACTCAGAGCTACTTGGAGGAGCCATTTCAAGCCTCATGGAATAGCAACACAGTATTATGCCCAGTGGTGCTGGGGTTCCACTGGACTGGCTCAGTTGTCCCCTATGCCCAGCAGCTGCATGGCTATGATCTCTGGTCACAGATCAGAACTTTAAGAAGCTGCATCTCCAATTTATCAGTAAAGCCTATCAGCACCCATTTACAATACATCCTAAATCCCACCACTTTTCACCACCTCCATTGTTACTTCTCCTGTCCAGGCCAATATCATCTGTCACTGGACTTAAAGAGCCTCACATAGATCTCCTTTCTTCCATTTTTGCCTCCCTATAGTCTAATCTCCATACAGTAGTCAAAAATATAAATCAGATCACATTACTCCCACTATAAAAACTCTTCAACGGCTTCCAATGCACTCTGAATAAACTAACTCCCAGCGCCTACATGATCTGGCCCCTGCCTACTGCTACAATTTATTTCTTCTACTCTTTCCTCTTACTCTCTGGGCTCCAGCCATTGAGCCTTTTTGCTGTTACCTAAAAATGGCATGCTCATTCCCATCTCAGGTCTTTGCACTTGTTAATCACTATGCCTGGAAAACTCGATCCCATCCTTTGTATGGCTTACTTCTCTTGCTTTTATCCAGGTCTCTGACCATATATATGTTACCTTCTAAAGGTGGCAAAGGAACAGCTATCTGCCTGAAATAGCTAGATTTCCCTACCCCGCCCCTTTCCAGATGTTGTTGCTCTTAATAGCAGTTATCTGATAAATTATACTGCATGAGCAATCCGTTTACTAGTCTATGATCAGTCTCCCACACTATGATGAAAACTCCATGAAGGCAGGGACTGCCTTTGTTTTCTTCAGATGTGGCCCAGAGAAGTGCCTGGTATATAACACCTAATCAGCAACCATGTGTTGAATGAATGAATCAGTGATGACAAAACCACAAGCTGGCTTGGGCATTCTTCTTAACATGTCAAGGAGGAGGTCAAAGCCAACCAAAGCCAAGATGCCTCACTGCCCAGCAGTCCATCTCACCAAATAAGAACATATATTCCCTTATTAGCTTGGATTTCCATTTACAGAGTTCCCTCAGATCCAAGGAGAACAAGAAATAGTAGCCAAAATGAGATCACACTAGGATGTTTATTATGGTTATCAACTAAGAAACCTCTAATCATTCCCCTTGTTTGTAACCAGTTTAAAACATCTGCACAGCCCCTGGATGGGCTGTTATGCATGCTGTTAACAATGCTCCCTCCCAACCCAGCACCACTGCTGACCACTCTGGTTAAGAGGGAGCACCCCCCTCTGATCTTCATTCTCTAGTTGGCTCATCTGCTACTGATAATTAGATATGTCTGCAGGACAGAGTCCCTGGGTGGTGCAAATGGTTAAGCACTCAGCTACTAACCAAAAGGTTGGCAGTTCAAACATACCCAGAGGCACCTCAGATGAAAAGCTAGCGATCTGCTTCTGAAGGGCCACAGCCCTGAAAACCCTACAGAACATAGTTCTACTCTGCAACACATGGGATCACCATGAGTCAGAATCCACTCGACTGCAACTTTTTTTTTCCAATCCACAATATAGGCAGTTATTGTATGATGATCAAACTACTTGCTCTAAAAAATGAAAACTTAAAGATGATAAACAGAAGGGATAGACAGTTTTCTAAGGACAAGTACCTGTGTAATATGGAGAGTCTACCTCCTTAAAGACTAAGTAAGAGAGAAGTTAGAAAATATATCTTCATCGAAGAAAGGAAATATTGTTTGGAATAGAAGACACAAAAGAAGTTACAGGAGTATCTTAGGGAGCTGTAGGAAAATAAAACTATAGTGAAAAATTCAGGAGTAAGATAAAGATCTTACGATTAGTAGACAAAAGAATCATTAACAGTGATGCACCCCTCCCCCAGGTCACCTTTTAGCAGAAAAATAGACTGACACACAAAATAAAGGCTATTACCTGTCAGATCAGCGCTCTACTAAAAAACCATCTGTATGAGTCCAAAAGGGCAACACTTAACCTAAAGCAAAGATAAGAAGACAAGGGGGCAGGGAAACTAGAGTACTAGAAATGGAACAACCAGAACACAAAGAGAATGTTGACACACTGAGAAAAATATAACTAACGTCACTGATCGATACGTGTGGAAACTGTCAAATGGGAACCTAACTTGCTATGTAAACTTTCACCAAAAACACAGTATTATTTTCAAAAAAGGTGATGCACCTACATTTCCAGAAAATGTACATTAATAAGAATCTTTCTTTCATGGGGAAAGGAAAATGGAAAGAGGCTTCTATTTACATACCTTACAAATGTGCTGCGAGATGCACCGCCTGTGTGGCAGAAGTTCTACAAAGTACCTTGAACTTCTCAGATGAAAGGCACTTAAAAAAAAAAAAATCATGAATTATGTCTATTCGTTTTACATGGAAAAAACAAAGCACAGATGTAAATGGACTTGCCCACAGTTCCATTAAGTAATTTAGAGTCCAGGAGAAGAAAAAAGTGTAGAATTTCTAACTGATATACCATAAAGTTTATCCTATTTATACAATTCTTGGCCTCCATTCACTTAACACAAAATGTACACAATCACCCTTATTTTCTGAATATTATAAATTAGTGTTGCCCTTTTTAAAAGCAAAAATCAAAACGACTGATAAATTCTACGTAAATTAATTTCCCCCAACATTTTATCGTGAAAACTTCCAAACACACAGCAAAGTAGAAAGAATTTTATAAGGAACACCTGTACCCCATCACCTAAACTCTACCATGGACATTACTTTCAATTGTGGTGAAAATATACATAACGAAACATTCATCAATTCAACGATTTCTATGTGTACAATTCAGCGACATTGATTATCTTCTTTATGTTGTACAACCATTACCGCTACCCTTTTCCAAATTATTCTATCATACCATGAACATTTTAATGACTTCTTTTATCAAGTTACATTTCCTTTCTAATGTAATGATTACAGAGAAATTACAGGTTGAAAGGTAACTATCGGAAAACCAATTACTTAATAAAAACAGGCTGAAGTCACTAGATCAAGGAATTCAGAATATTAGGAAATCCTAATATTTTTGTCAGATTTGATCAATATTAGAGTACTGGTTAAAGTCAGAACGGACATATATCTATTCCTATCCACAATAAGTGATTCTAGTTTTGTTTGTTTAGTATCAGATCATGTCATTCTCTGCTAAAAAACATTTAACGACTTCCCACATCAGAACTAACCCAAAGAACTTCCATGTCCCAAAGGCTCTACATGATCTGGTCCCCTGCTCACCTTTCCAATCTCATCCTTCCTTCCCACTTTTCCCTTCACTCACTCCACTCCAAACTTAATTCACTGTCTGCTTATGTTCTCGTATTTCCCTTTACTTGAATATTAAGATACCATGATAAATATGCTTAAACATATTTATTTTACCCACCCACTTGAAAAAAGAAAAAAAAATCAAGTTCAATTTGGTACAAACTACAAACTCAGCTCTCACATTTTGATGATTATTAGCTATAAACATGTATTCAGAATCATGTGGAAGAAGCATCAATAAACTAAGACCAACACCCAGAATGTGCAGCTTCAGTGCCTAGCTGATTTTCAGTCACATGACTACTATAATTACCAGTACAGAGGTCATCACTTAATGCTATAGCACCACAGGTTAAAAATGAGTCCCTTGAAATAGAAACACTTGAAATAGGGATTTTACAATAATTACTAACTTTAAACTGTCTTTGAAATTTTAATTTATCAATTTCACAAATACTGAACAGTGGGCATGTCCCCAAAGAGCAGAGTATGGTAAGATACATAAATTTAACACTAACATGCTTAAAATTTAGTTACATTAGTGGAAGGTGCAGGCAAACTGAGTTCCACTAACCAAAGCATAAGGGATAAACTAAACAGTAAAAGAAGATACAATATTTAGGAATCTTTTAAAACTACAAATAGATGGCCATTTTAAAATTCACTGATTAAGTATCACTTATCATTATCATTAGTAGCCATACTGCTTAAACTCACGGTGCTATCTACAGAAGCTCATCAAACCCAAATTAGGTCTCTTAGAACTTGAAATATCAGCCTTATCGTCTGACAGAGTTAACATAAATCTCTCAGCTCTGGGACAATTAAGAAGGCCCAAAGTAGCACCCCAGCTCCTCTCCCATCACTGCTTGGACAGACTCCACCCCACGGACAGGAAACACCTGAAGAGCCACCTGTTTTCACTCTCCTAATAACTTACACTCCCACATGACCAGGCTAAACTTTTAAAAGAGTTAACTGACAAAAAAGGAATCAAGACTATGAAAATACTCCAGTAACAAAACCAGTATCATACACGCACGTGGGGGGCTGTTCACTTGACATAAGCAGTTTTTCCGCAACCCACCCCAAATCAGTACTCAAAAAGGCCCACAGTGACCTGATAACATTTTCGCTGGAACTATGATGGATTTGGAGCAAGCAGGTCTCAGCCTCCCTGTGGAAGAAGATGGTCCATCAAGAAGACCCAAATACCTAAAGCCAGGACTAGACCAGCCACTCACCCTACAAATTCATTTATCTGCTTCATTCGATTGCTGCAGGACCACCCAGATATATAGGAGACTGCTGTGAAAGCCACAGGACTATAATTTGTTTGGCAAATGGATTTTTTCAGATTCTCCTAAACTATGGGCAATCAGCAAAGTATAAAAGGGGAAAACACTGGACTAAGCTGGAAGTCCTGAATTTTAGCTGACTCTAGGCCTGATGCTCGGGAATACATGGAGAATACCTTACGGAGAAAACAGTTCTGGTCTGCCCCTCTAACTAGATACAAGGGCTTGGTAAATTTAGTTAAGTCTCTGGGACTCAGTTTCCTCATGAGGAAAAGGTTGGACTACAAGTCCTGAAGATTCCTTCCAGGTCCAAAATTCTGGTTCTATGAAATCAGTTGATGGCTATATTCCTACTCTCTTCTCCCTCCAGTACAGATGTTTTATGAGAACATAGGCTATACGTCTAGGACTACAATTTGACTCAAAACAAGTTCCATATCATATTTTTTGTTACATCCCTAAGAGCCACCAGTAGATGGAACTACCCTTAGAACAAATTTATCAGAAGATATCCTCAATAACTCATTCTTTTCAATTAAGAACAAGTCTTGTATTTTCAGTCCAAACAATATCACTTGTGCCAAACACTCAAAACAATATGCCCACCAATTCAGTCATGTCTAAGGTGACAATCACGTACACATGTACAGATTACACATTTGGGTGTGTAACACTAAGTGGTTCAAGAATTCTCACCACATACAATATTTTAAAAAACGGTTTTTAAAACAGAAGTATTTTTTCCTTCATTTTTGGCAAAGAAGCATAAAATTGATTATATACCTGCAAAGAAGAAAAAAAAAAAAAACCATTTATTTCAAAAGGGTGTCTTAAAAAAAGAACCAAATAAGTCACAAACAGGTAAAATTCTTAAATCAGAACTATTAAAAAACACAAGTGTAATTTTTTACCTTCCTCCCCAACTCTGAGGCAAAGAATGTCATTTTTCCACCATAAACTACTACACGTGGTTTTTGACCAAATCGATTTGAGTGCAAATAGTGCTATTTAATGAAGACTACCTGTAACTGTGGATCCAATCAGTAACTAGGGACAGATGTTTAGGTGCTTCTCTAATCTTATTTGGACTAAGCAAAATTGCAAATTAATACTCTATTTTGATGGACCATAACTTAGATCATGAAAAATGCTCTTTTCAACTGAAAAATATCCTTACTTTTCTTTTTCTACAATACAGATAGTCCTGATCTCTGAGATTAAAATTACAACACAATCGTTTACTTATACAATCTCCAAGAATACCGCATTAAAAAAGGAAATGTACCCCAAACATAACTGAATTCAAACAGAATAAAACATTCATGTTTTACATTAAAATGTTAAAGGCAAAATGGAGTTGTAAAGAGTAACTTTCCCATTTCAACTCCAACAGCCACGCGCGCTTCGCAGCAGCCGGCAGTACAGCGCGGTCGCGGGGCCGGACCCGGAGCCCCCGCCCTGCTCGGCGCGGCCGCCGCCGACTCCTGGGCGGGGAACCGGCGC